GGAATTCTTCTCTGCTTTGCATCGTTGCCTAATAGAGTGTCCTCTGGGGGCTGAGATTCTTGTACCACCTTTTTTGTACCCTTCTTATTCCTCTTTTTCCCCGTGGAGGCTTCGTCCCTACCGTAAAGGTCATTGTTCTTGTACCGGCTGGCCCCACACTGGGGACATTTATCCAGTGACTTGAACGTTTCGCCACGAAAAAGTATACAGTGGTTGGAGCATGCATGGATTTTTCAACCCCCATTGTCAATGGACTTATGACCTTCTTCGCTTGGTATGTGTTGGCAGGAATTGAGTTTGGTTGTGGCAGCACCCATGACAGGAGACGCAATGGATCATTGAAACTACAGTCTGACCAGCCGTACTTAGCCTTCAGGATGAGTAGCTCAAGCACAAAACATAGCAATGTCCAATGTATCGGATAGCCCTTTTCAACACCATACACAGTCTCCTTCGATGCTTTTGTCACCCTTTTCAAATTTTCTAGACCCTTCAGGCTCTTTGGTAAAATCTCTGGTCCAAGGGATCGAATCATGTCCTCCAAATCATCTTCATCCCCGACACGTGCTCCACCATCATTATTGGCACCACCTTCGTCGTTACCATCCCAACCACCAGCATCACCACCTTGTTCATTGCCAAACTCGGGATCCATTCGTGCATCAAGCTCTGCTGAATATTGGGACAGGGATTCTAGAGTTTCGTCGTCGTATTCCTCCTCATCCTCGTCGTTAACAATAACCATTTCACCATGAGGAATCCACACTGTGTAGTCCTCAACAAATCCTCGCATAATCAAATGTGATCTGATGATAGTCACATCTGTTCATGCCATACGGTTCTTGCAATCTTTATAGGGATAAATAATTGTATCCTTATTCTCTATCAATGTCGTTGCATGCTTCTTTGTGGCTTCAATAAATTTATCCACCTCTTCACGGAAACTTGCCTTGAACCTTAACGAACCATACATCTAAGAGTTTCTGTACTCCATCTTTTACAACAACAACAAAGCAAACATTAAAGGACTACTTATTCATATATATATATATATAAATGAATCAAATTAATAATTACTTGAGAATAATTGTATATACTTCAGATATATATGAATATAAATCAAATATAATTACATGAAGCATACAAACATACCAGGAAAATTAATTAATGGCCCATTTATCCATAAATAATTAAAATACATATTTGTTGATTACAATAAACAATTTCAAAGACAACAATTAGCAACAATTATATTTTACCCAATATCTTTCATGCAAACCCTAGTCCAATTTCATCAAACATAAATTTACAAAAACAAAATTAATAAAAAAACCAAACCCTAGATCTAGATCTACATCCACATGAAACATCCATAAAACTAACTAATTGTTCTCTAAAATCAAGAAACATGGACCAAATAAGGGTATGATCTTGTTCCCCTACCTAATTTACCCAAGTACATTCAAAATTTGGGTCTAATTTGCTTCATAAGTAGCTCAAGCACCATAGAAGAGAGAAGAGCAAAACTCTAATTACTCACTAACCAACCATTAAAACTTCAAAAAAAGTGTGGAATAGTATTTTCTTACCTTCTACCACATCTCCACCAAAGGATTTGAGACCAAAACATTTCCTCCTTAGTAGAGCAATTTTTGGGAGGTGTTCAAGGCCTCCCCACCTTTCTTTCACGGGTTAGAGTGAGTGACCCGAGGAGAAAGAAAGTGCTGCAATTTTTTTATATGTGGGTCATTTGTAAGGGCGGCTGGTGATTGAGCCGCCCCTACAAATCGCAGGTATTTATACGCGGGACATTTGTAGGGGTGGCTCAATCACCAGCCGCCCCTACAAAATAGCAACACCGAGGGCGGCTGGTGAGTGAGCCGCCCCTATAAATTCGATCCATTTGTAGGGGCGGCTCATATCACAGGCCGCCCCTGCTGTTCCATTTGTAGGGACGACTGGTCTCGTGGGTCCCGAGCATGCCACTATAGGGGCGGCTCCATCACCAGCCGTCCCTACAAAAAATTTGTCCCGCTGGTACAAACCGTTTTTCACGTAGTGAGTCAAAGCCTTCGATGATGTACTAGGAGTATATATAAACATAAATAAATAAATGCAAAATGGCAATTTTTTTCATATAAAAAGTGATGTTTTCTTTCCTCTATCGCATGCGCAGGAGCTGAAGACATAACGTGGGGTTCTCATAGAAAGAAAACCCTCAACATTATATGTCGATGGACGACAAGAAGAAGCGGCAGAAGCCGCTTCCGGCTGAATCCGCTCCAAACATTGGTGGCCACACGATCGAAGATCCAACGGCTGTAAAAAATCGGGGTGACGTGGCGGCCGCTTCTGTTCGAGGAGCTAACGCATTCTTTAGAGGAGAATTAGAAAAAAAAATCAAGGAAAAAATGGACCCAAAAATGTAAGAAATAGCATTGTGGCTCCCGGCATGCCCCATTTGGGCCAGTCCGGCCCATTGGCACAAATTGCAGGTGACGTTCTAGGCCTACATTCAAGTAATAAAGCAGGCGCAAAAAACGACGTAACTTTTTTATCAGATCTTGTATGTAGCTTGTTTGTTGTAATTGTGATGAAATCACCGCTGCTAGCAAAAAGTTGTTAAGCATACTCACCTTTACTGTATTTGTTTAATCTACACCTAATACTAAAGAACCTGCTAATGTTCTTTTTTCCATCGTTTAATTTAAGTAAAAAAAACTAAGAATGGAAGAGAAAGAAAGAATCCATAGTTTATTATCTTCATTTATTCTCTCAATTGTGACCGAGTCTATGTAAACCAAACCCAAATCTAAATCTTGTCGATTATCGGCGTCCATTTGTCATCCATGTTCTATTGAATTCTCTTGTTCCATCTCATATACGGACTTGCTAGCGCTCGAACGTTCGATCCGAGGCTTAGCGTCGGACGATGCACGCGTAGCGAACGAGCGAGCACCCCAGTAGCATCGGACTTGCCAGCGAGCGCCCCAGCAGTGGGCACGCGCCACCACGGACGTCGCCCCACGCTGCCAGACCGCACGTGGGGGCCGCTCGCGTCCCCTCCTGCTTCCCATGAGCATCACATGTGCAACACTTCGATCTACTTTTGAAACATTCAGATGCAACACGTGCATGATACAAAAGAAGACAGATGAGAAACACTTGAAAAAACACCTCAAAAACACTTGAAAGCCATTGTAAACATATGCAACATCCAGATAAAACACTTGCAACATATGTGTGAAACATATGCAACATCCAGATAAACGCACTTTCAACATATGTCTAAAAAAACAGATGAAACATTGGGAACAACGTTTGTAACATACGTGTACAACTATTGCGATATATGCAACATCTCGATCTACTTTTGCGACCTCCATACGAAACACTTGAAACATAAATCTGAAACAACTGAAACACTTAAAATATAGTCTTGCAACATGTCCGAAAACGACTGAAACACTTGAAAACACAGCATCGCCGGCAGCCACAGCCTACTTAGTGGGGAACTATGGTGGCGCAGGCCTCCTCTTCCTGCCGACGGTGCGAGGTGGATGGGGGAGCAGGCACAGGCCTCACCTGTGTCTCCTTCCACGACGGGCGAGATGGATGGGGGCGCCGCGCTGGATGGTAGCGCGGCGCGGGCGCATGGGGCCGGGCTAGAGAAGCCCGCGTCGGCGGCCCCTGCGATGGAGAGGACGAGCGGCGCTTTTTTTTAAGAAGCTGTGAAGCACTAAAGGACGCGGAACAGATCGAGTGGGGCGAGCGGCGTCCAGGCGGACGGACGCCCGCTTTCCAGCGCTACCGTCTCATATATCCTGGGTTTATCTTCCTTCTGCCACGCTTCTGTCGTGCACTGGCCGGGCGGCACAGGCAATAATGCCACGAGACATCGCGGTAGACAGAACACATGCATGGTCATCTGCCAGGCTGCCCCATGTTCCACCAGCCACATAATCTCCCTTTCCTAACTTAACCACCATCCAAGTCTCTCGAATAACCACCATCCAAGTAAAGATCCCACCTGTGCTTTGCCGACCATTATCGGGGCACTCTTCCACAAAAGAGGTCGGGGATCCAAGACCCCTAGTGGCATGTACGTTCACCTTCTGATTAGAGCGTGGCTAAAAATATAATCTACTGCTGGTTGTATATATATTATAATATATAGTCCCACCTATCAGCCCACTCATATAATATTTACTTACTAAAACATACTCCAACAATAATATGTGGCTCACTTTCTCCTCTCACGGAGTTTCTTCGTTGCAGCCCATTTTCCTTCTTTCTAGTCTCTCCTCTGCATTCAGGTCACTTACACCCCTTGAGTATACTTGCTCTTACTTGGTCTTATCACATGGGTATTGCATCTTAGTATTTCAATAAAGAAATGATGTTCTCGATGGAGAGAAATCAAGAGGAAGGATAGTTATCAAATCCAAACATAAGTGGCTTCGGATGATGGGGACATGAGTTTTTTTTTTTTACAACAATGAGGACATGAGGTTGATCCCAATCAAGCTTAGAGAAACTATAACTATTTGATTGTTAATCCCTCTTTTCTAAACTATAGGCTACTTTGATTTTGTTTTAAGTCAAACTTCTAAATGTTTTTAATCTAATAATTTATTAAAATAAATAATGCACCCACATTTGCAACCTCAAATTAGTTTTGTACTTTTATTAAATTCTTCATTAAATATGTATATCTTGCTATGTAAATTTATTTAAACTTCTAGATGTTAAAAAAAAGTAAAAACTTTGGCATGGCTTCATGCGTGACGCCACCTCTACATACATGGGCAACAGGGTAAGCCTTGTCGGCGAACGGCGGCGTCAGCGGTGATGCCTCCACCTGCCTACGACCGCCTATAAATACACCTCGCCGGCCGTCGCCGCCTACTAACAGCCTCTACTCGCCACAACACGCCGGCACACGCACAAGCACATCTTTGTGGCACACGCGGCCAAGGATCGGACGACCGACCGCCGCCATGGCTACCGCCGACGAGGCCGATCAGGTAACGGTCGTCGACTTCTGGGCGAACGGCTTCGGGATGCGGGCGCGGATCGCGCTGCGCGAGCTCGGCGTCGCCTTCCGCTACGTCGAGGAGGACCTCCGCGTCCGCGAGCGGAGCGAGCTGGTGCGGCGGATGAACCCCGTCCACCGCTCCGTCCCCATCCTCATCCACGACGGGCGTCCGGTCTGCGGCTCCATCAACATCCTCGAGTACGTCGACGAGGTCTGGGGAAATAAGGCGAGTCGGCCCAGCTTGCTCCCGCACGACCCGCTCCAGAGGGCCCACGCCCGCTTCTGGGCTGACTTTGTTGACCAGAAGGTAAAATCATTTTTATATATTCCTTGACCACTCATTCTCTAATAATTTATTAAAATATATGTTTTTATGATTATTCTATACATAAAAAACATACTCGTGCAAATAATGTTAAAAAATAGTCAAGCAAAAATCTTATATTTGTTAGTTACAATCCACTTTTATTTGGTTAGGTGTTTAGCACCCAGACGAAGTTCCTAAAGAGCAAAGGCGATGAAAAGGCGGCAGCAAAGGCAGAGCTCCTGGAGCAACTGAAGCGCCTCGAGGAGGTGCTCGGGGACAAGACCTTCTTCGCCGGCGACGAGTTTGGGTTCCTTGACGCCGTCCTCATCCCGTTCTCGAGCATGTTCTACGGGTACCAGCAGCATGGAGGCTTTGATCTTGACGTGGAGTGCCCGGGCTTGATGCGCTGGGTGAGGAGATGCAAGGAAAGGGAGAGCGTCAAGGATGTCCTCCCCGACGAGGATGAGATGTATGAGCTGCACAAGAAGTGGTATGGTATAGAGTGAACCAATAATGAGTCGTCGTCGCCAAGATGGAATGATGTGTGAACATAGTTCCCCCTAAGTGCATGTGTTCTCCTGATGTCATTAGGATATGTGTACATTAGAAGATAGACAATAATTCTTGAAACGATGCCAGTTGCCAAGGGAGCTATTGAGCTTCTTGTACTATTTTTTCCCCGTGATTGAATTTTACTATTGTTGCTTTCTTAATGGTGGTTTGTTAGCCCATCTCTTGAAAATTCTTTTGGTGGCTGTGCTAAATTGTACTGTCCCTAATTTTTAATATAGGATGTTTATTTAGTACACCTACAAGCTAATTATAATTTTTTTTTCTAATAATTAACTTGTCGAAATCATCATGGAAGGAGCAAAGTAGGCAATTCAAAAGCGAGCTCACTAATAATATTCCAAAGAAAGAAAGCGACCTCATCAGTCACTGTCGACAGATATCGTTCCAGAGCTTTGATAACGTAGCCGTCGACGACCCGCCATCCTCGACGGCCTTCCGGCACCTCGCCTGCATCTCCGCGGCCTTCTCCCTCGCCTTCCTCCCCTCCTCGCCGTAACCCATCAGCTCCTTCACGGCCCGCTCAAGCTCCGCCGCCTCCACGAAGTTGTCCCTCCTCCTGTCCACCTCCATCACCACGGCGACACCCATGCTGGCCACCAGCGCGAACGCGTTCAGGTGCTGCTCGGCATACAGCGGCCATGGCGCCATGGGCACACCGAACCACAGGCTCTCCAGGATCGAGTTCCACCCGCAGTGCGTCACGAAGGCCCCCACGGCCACGTGCGCGAGGATCTCCTTCTGCGGCGCCGTCGTCGGCCACACGAGCCCTCTGTCCCTCGTCCGCTCGACGAAGCCCTCCGGGAGCAGCTGCGCGAGGTCCGCGTCCGTGGGGCTCCACGTGCCGGGCGCCGGTGCGCCGCGCAGCACCCAGAGGAACCGGTGTCCACTGCGTTCCAGGCCGCGGGCGACCTCGTGCGCCCGCGGCGCGGTGAAGAAGCCTCCGCTGCCGAAGCAGAGGAAGACCACGGACGCCGGAGGCTGCGTGTCCAGCCACCGTACGCACTCGTGCGGCGGGTCGGCCGGCGGGGGGTAGGAGATGACCGGGCCGATCGGGTACAGCGTCGGAGCAGGCCGGCAACCGGCCCCGCGCGTGCACCGGCCCTCGGCGATGGCGGAGAGGACGCTCTGCTCGAGCTCGGCGGCCGTGTTGACGATGATGCCGTCGGCGTCCATGAAGCGCCTGCCGTGGTACGCGTACCACGTGCACTCAGGCTTCTTCCTTTCCATGATCGGCGTCGGGAGCGAGAGCGGTGGCACCAGGGGCAGCCCGGGGATGTCCGCGGCGCCGTCCATCTCCCCGAACTCGCCGGCCACCTCCTCGCACAGCGCCGGCAGGCGGATGAAGAAGGAGAGCGCCGCGGCGTTGCAGGTGAAGTACACGTACGCCGGCACGGCGAGCTCGCGGGCCACGTCAACGAACGGGGTGCAGAACAGGTCGAGGACGAGCGCGTCCACCGGGCGCGCCAGGCTCGAGACGGCCGCCCTGACGTGGGGCGCGTGCAGCTGCACGACCCGGGAGATGAACTCGACCGGGCCAGCGTGGTCCGTCGGCGGCTCGACGGCGGGCAGGCGCTGGAAGCGGACGTCGAGGCCGGCGGCGGCCTCCTCCGCCCGGCGTATGTCGCCCTCGAGCTCGGACGCGTGCTGCTCCGTCGGCGGCCGCATGACGAGCACGGTGACCGAGAGCCCGCGCCCGCCGCCGCTAGCGAGCAGCCGCTTGCCGGCTTCTAGCATGGGCATGAGATGGCCGGCGCCCCAGACCGGCAGCAAGACGACGGTCGGGGTTGCCATAGGCGGTGCCTCTCAGGTGCTCGCGCTAGAAGAAGGTAGAAGCGATAGAGTGATGGGTGGATGGAAACGCCGAAACGCATCAGCGATAGAGTGATGATCTGGAACACGGGTGGTGCGGTCGGGAAGGAGCACGCTGCAGAAGCCGACGACCTGCCGCCGCACAAGCCAGAGGCCTGCGCCACCCACTATTGGCCGCTAGTGGCACATGGTCAAGCGGGCGGCGATTTAGGAGGTCAGGGTTACCTTTGTTTATTGTAATGGAGGGACTTAAAAAATATATTAATTAGAGTCGTGCTAAAGAACACGCGGTGAATAGCGCTATTGGTGAAAATTTGACCTCCTCCTACGGCTAAAGCAACAACACGGATTTTGAAGCATCAACAAAAATCACCGATGATGCTGATTGCAAGATCAATAAAGAGGCTTAGACTATAGTGTAATGCAGGAGCCAAGTGGCTAAGAGAAAACTTGCCTATCACTTTGCCTGTTTGCCTCCTTTGCTTTGAGGTCCTAAAATCCTCATTTGGGTCTTTCTTGTAATAACGCATTTTCTCTTGTACTTTAGCTCTTTTCTCTCCTCCATTAAACATTAATATATTTGGCAGAAGTCCCGTCAGTATTTTGTTTTAAAAAATTGTGAGACTTGGGAGCCTTGTACGCCGAACAGGAACATGAGTGTGGCTATCTTATTTTATCACGATTTGCATCGCAAACATTGCATTCGGTGGAAACTTGTCCAACGGCTAGGACAGCTGTTTTGCATTGCATTCGGTGGACCACTAGCAAAAATATATATATACCCAGCTTCGTGAGCTGTTGTGAGTTGTTTTTTTTACCAAACACTTCTTTTCAAAATAGTTCTATGTGTGAAACTTTTTTTTTTTTTGCTCTCACAAGGGGATGGAGTGGGAGAGAACTAAAAAAAAATAGTTCATCCTAGCTTCATCTAGCATAAGTGGGCCCCACTACGCCTAAAAGACTGCATGTGCCCTCTCGCTCTTGAGAAGGAGCATGCGGGGGTGGCCGCCAGGGGATGCGAGGGGAGGTGTGGCGCCACCGCAGCCAAGCCCGCCACCGGATGCCACCGGGCACGACCACAGCAGCGGGGAAGGTACGGGGCGCTGCCGCGCCGGGGCAGGCTCGCGGATGCTGGAGGAGACGTGGGCTCCGTTGCCAAGCTAACCGCCAGAAGCCACCGTGCACGGCACAAGACAGGGCACAGAGCGCGGACACCCCATGGGGAAGAAGACGTGGCAAGCAGAAAAAAAAAATCCGTGAGAAAAAAGAGAAGAAAAAATAAATAAGGGATATTATAGTCATTTATTCATTTGGTCCGACCTATGAAGCTATTTTGCCAAAATAAATTCTAAAACAGCTCAACTTCATAAGAGAGCTGCTCGTGAAGATATTTTACAAAAAGAAAAAAAAAACAGCTTCAAAGTGAAGTTGAGTCGTGCCAAATGGGCCTGTAGTCTTCTTTGTTCAGGTGGCGAGTAACTCAGGGTGGGACTGTAGGAGCAGGGCATCTCTGGAATCCTAGATAGGACTAGTACGACAATTGAGCCTGGCGTGTAGGAGATTCAAGAAAATGTTACACTAGATGACAAGAGGTTAGAATCCAATTTTAGCAGTGCCTTAGAGCATTTCTAGTAGTCCTCTAATCTCATCTTTCGTTCGTATAAAACTATCATACTGAGAGAGGTGTCATTTTTGTTCTCCAGCGGTCCCCGTAGCCCTTCTCTTTTTGTGGCCACTAAAAAAAATCTTCTCCTCCACTTAAATAGAGGGGGAGTTGCTCTCCCCAATAAGCTGGGGGCCACCCAAACTGTCACTGTTCTCCCTCTTCCCTCTCGCTCCCTCTACCATGGCGTCAAGCACAACCATCGGCCGCCACTGCCACCGCGGCTATGGCCGCCACCGCCACTGGCTAGCCACACGCGCCGCTGTGCCTCAGTCGACCGCGGCCATGGCCGCTGGAGCCACCGGCTAGGTCCGCGTGCTGCGGTGCCTCGGCTCACCACAGCCGCCAGACCATGGGAACCATAACCGTCGGAGCGCCGCCCGCTCCACCATCGGAGCACTGCTGGCTTTGTCCTCACGGAGGAAGCGCCTCGCTGGCAACTGTGGGAGCTCCGCCCACTCCATGGTCGGAGCGGACCGAGCGTCGTCCTCGGTCACGGGAGGGCCGCATGCTCTGCAGTCGGAGCGGACTGAGCACCGTCCTCTGCTGGCGCGGGAGGGCTGAGCGGACCAAGCATCGTCCTCGCTCATGACAGGTAGCAGAGAGAGCGACCGCTCCACCGTCCGGTCCGTGTGAGGGATGGTGTGCTCCTCTGCTTGTTCGGCTGATGCACTGCACACAGGCCCGGTCCTGTGAATCTAGTGACCTGGAGCGGAGCTAGAAAAATAGGCCCGCCTTTAATATAACTTTAATAATATAACGATGTTTCAAATAAATATAATATATGATTTTTTTTTCTTCTTGTGATTGTACGAAGTCTTCTATCCCTTTCTTCTTTTTTGTTTTCTTACTTCCACATGCATGTTTTTTGGGCAACATGAGTTTACTATAAATTTAGAAATTAGAAAGTAATTTAAGAAAATTATACAATACTCAATTTAGTTTCGGAATTTCAAAAAATTCAATGTGGTACTAAACATGCGTGCTGCACCGTAAGGGATTCCTAAATCCCAAATCTAAAAAATATATACTTGACATACATACACAAGCACAATCAAGGGGCTTAGGGGCAATTTCTTACCTGCGTTGCGTCCGTACGTACGCAGACCGGGAACTAAGAGTGGGCCGGCGGCCGGTCGCTGGTTCTAGTTGTTGCATGCAAGCACGCTGATGTCGACGCACGACTTGCGACGCCAAGTCTCACCTCACAGATCTCGCAGGTCGCAGCTCGCAGCTGAAGAAGATAAACGATCAGCGAGGCCGCATCGACGGAAGTGCGTCAGCACATCGCGAGTCGCCGATGGAAGCCAATTAGTCATATGAATCGACGTGAGGCAAGACAAATTGGCAGCCACGTGACATGCCTTTCTAGCTTGTTGGGCTCTAGCTTTGGGGCCATAGAACTAATATACTATACCTTCGTCACGATCTGGGTCGCCCTTAGCGTCGAGGGCCTCTGCTCGTCAAGACACTTTAACTCCCCCAAGGCCGGGCCCGACCGCATGATGGGATTTCGGATGGTCAGTATTACGTGAGAGAGAAGAAGAAACAAGCTGAAAGGAGTAGAGCTGAACACCCCGACTGAGAGGAGGAGAGTACTAACCTGTAGGCTCCACATGATAGATGGATATTGTGGGAGATATATTGAGCTACTGCTGCAACAGCTGCCCCAATAATTACAAAACTGGTAATGGGACTCTCCCATACTTGTTTATTGGGAACAAATTAGGTGCCACTAGAGATGCTCTCATTACAAAAAAATGATACAACTATAAAATTTGTGCAAGCTAAATAGCTTAACTTTGGTCAAATTTAGAGTAAACAGTATTAATATTATGTCTTCAAATAAATTTACAATAAAAATATATTTCATAATTATCAATTGTTATTTTGTATTGTAAATATTAGTACTTTTTATATAACTTTGATTAAACTTTAAATCGTTCGAGTCATCAGAAAATGAAAAATACAGTCATTTGTGGATGGAGGCTGGACATTCATTATTCATCTTTATCCTTTCATTGCATGTTTCCATTTTATTATTAATCATAGAGCTATTTTGTCTGGTCTTTTTTTTTAGAATTACATATTACAACATAAACGTCCACCACACGCACGCACACTTACCCCTATGAACACACATACGTAAACCCTACTCCTATGAGTATATCTAAAGGACTAAGCCTGTCGATGGAGACGTCGCCTGACACTGAAAACATAGCGTCGTTAAATCATGAAATAAATTCAGAAAAATACAATTACTCATGCTAAAATCGAGGACTTAAATTTGGATGAACAAGTTCCACATCAAGAAACCCAGCCACGTGGTCTTCTTTTCGACCATACATGAAAATCGTAATTAGTAAATAGCTAGAAGGATAGAACACTGTTGTTGTGATGGCAATTTAATCCGGTGAGTTTTTGTGCTGCTTTAGACAATAGGTGCCCTCGTATCGGGGTATTTATTTTTGATTTGAGAGCTTCTCCTAATTTTCAAGGGACTGTTCTTATCTGAGCAGGAGCTCTCAAATTTATGCCTGCAATCAATGACATGTAGAACCCACCTATCATCCCTGCACGCTCGAGCCTGTCACGATCTCGTTGGGTTCGAGGAAGAGGTGCCCGTTGTGATCTCGCTAGGGGCTTGGGCCTAGTTTAGATTGTAAATTTTTGCAATCTAGATACTATAGTACGTTTCATTTGTATTTGATAAACTTTGTTCGATTATGAATTAACTATGCTTAAAAGATTCGTCTCGTAATTTACAACTAAACTGTACAATTAGTTATTTTTTATCTATATTTAATGCTTCATATATATGTCAAAAATTAATGTGACGGAGGGGAAGCTGTCGGGTGACGAGGACGCGTTCCCAATCTTCTGGCAGGCAGTGGTGGTAACTATTGATTTGGGTGTCGAGTGATTTGAATTTTTTATTTTTTAGCTATTTTTTCTAAAAATAGTCATATCTAGATTTTTGGAAGTTTTTTTTTATTTTCTAGATCCTAAGTTCGACGCAGTAGTAATTGGCGTCGAAGATAAACGTATGGGCGCCATGATCTTTGGCACCGACATCCAGACTATTTTCTCCGTGACGTTGACAGCTTGCGTGGCGTCTCCTGGCGCCATCCTGACTCGCAGTTACAGTGCGGCGCCAAGCAAGAGAGAGCCTGACTTGCAGGTGAAGCGTAAAACTGTAGACCAGAGAGAGAGAGCACTGCAGAGAGAGCAGAGGAGTAGCACGAGCATCGAGGCCTTGTTAGATTACCTTCAAATTTCAAGTTTTTTCACTTTCTCTCTATTACATTAATTTTTAGAT